ATGTGTATAAGAGACAGGCTGCACATTCTGGAGGTCACCGGCCAGAATCACCTTACCTGAAATCCTGAAATTAAGGGCCACCCAACCTTTTCAGATCTCAGGCCACCACCATCTCCTACCCTCCCTAAACCTTAAGCTTAGTCCAGAATCTAGACATAACACAGCACCCTTCTCCAAGCTGTCCACAGCTACAACCCAGAGCCAGCCCCTGAAGTGAGGAAATGAGAGACCATCGGCCGTCAGAGCCACGCCAAGTCCACACAGATCCCCTCAGGGTCAGGGCAGCGGCTGAGCGCAGCCCCCTCAGCTTTAGGCCTGTGAGCAGATTTCCCAAAGCCGTGCAGGCTGGCGGGTTAGGAGGGGGACGGGTGTCAGGCTGGAGGTATGTTGAGGCTGTGTGCCTGTGTGTGTTTAATTGGGAGTGCCTGGTTTGCCAAACGCTCAGGTGTGCCACAGGGATTTTCAGCCTCGGTTAGGAGAACCAGCTCTCAATGGCATTTTATGGTGATGTGAAAGGGCTGGTCAACTGGAGGGAAGAGGATAAACAACATCTGTCTTTTCTCCTCAGTGTCTGGTCAGAGCTGGGCTTTTAAAGAGACCTGCTGATGGTGGGTGATAACAGAAGCAAACACAGAGAGCAGTATCTGATACCCGAGCGAGCATCAGCCACGCTGCAGGGAGGACAGGATCAGTTACAAGTTAAGGTGGCTGTGATTACAATCAGGCCAATAGATGAGCACCACTGGAGTTAAAAAACACTCGTTTTTAACTCCCAGGCCTCAGTGCAGTTGCTGCAGTAGCCAACCCGGCAGTTTCTCTCAGCTGTTGGGCCACCAGGTCCACACTAGCCACTGAGGAACTGAACCAACTCTCAGACTTCTAATGCCCTGGGTGCAATTTACAGCCCAGGGATGTTACCCTGCAAATGGCAGCAGCTTGGGAATTACAAGTGGGTGCATGGTGGTGTCACCCGAGTGTGAAGGCTGCTCATCAAACAGCTGTGTCTGGCATTATCCATGGGCCAGAACTCAGCTCTCCTTGTCCACAGAGGAAAACGCTGCACAAGTTAGTTCAGGGCACATGCAACGGCAGCAAGTGGCAAAGCCCCCTCCCCTCCTCGCCTTCTGCCCCAGCAACGGGGTCACCCCAAAGAAAACAGGTGTGGAATATTCAGGGCAGGCTCAGATCAGGGAAGGTTTGAATGGGAGTATGCTCTCCCACATTGTTATCTCCCAAGAGCACTGAGAATGAGTTTGGAGAGAGCAGCTAGAGAGTATGTGAATAATTGTATCACAATTACACAGTAAATGGCCGCCCAGAAACATGATCTTCCTCTGAGCACGTTCTCACCACAGTTGCTAAAGCTGGAGTGGTGCTGGTGGAAGCTGAGCTGCAGGAGCTCCTGGTTTCATTGGTGTTTGTTTAAGGATCACTGGGAAACTCTCTCCTCTTCCTGCAAGCATCTGTATTTCTGTATAAATACAAGAGAAGTCCTGTTGGGTTGGCAGTGGCCAGCGACACCAAATCCCCGTGACTGCGCGGGCTGGGGCGTGCAGGATCAGGAATGGGCAAAAGGGCCTTCACGGGGGTTGAACACTGCTCCTGCAAACTCTTTTACACACCCGAAGCCTCAGTCCCATGCACAGTCAGGACATGCACTTTGCTGATGTCGGTGAGTTATCCTCTCGGAATCGGCAGAACTACTAGGCAACAGGGTGCCAAATTTTATTCAAATTTACTGTTTGTTTGGCTGCTCAGATATCAATCAGGCCGTCTCTAAGGCCACCACTATATGATCTGATTTTTAATGGCGATAAGGGCCCTGAGGCAACGTTTGAAACTGCCAAGAACAAAATGTGCAAAGCAATCCATGTCCAGGAGATTAGCTGCAGGAGGAAGGACAGGGCCGGGGGAAGCTCAGCACCAGCACCTAGGAAGGAACATACCTGGCGGATGGAAGTGGCTCAGGGTTTCTCTCACTGCCCTGAGGAGTCAGCATGTGAGGAGCACTTTGACTTTCCCCAGTGGGTTTGGGCATGGCCACCAATGAGATCCTTCCTTCCTTTGGGTCTCTTGCCTTGCAGGATTGGGAGAAAGCACTGAGGGCAAGGAAAGGTGTGTCACTACGTAGCAGGAGCATGGACAGTTAAATCTGATGTCGCAGCAAAAGAGAAGGGCCCAGTGCAGAGCAAAAGCCAAGGGAGGATTTGTCCAGCTTGGTGACTTTTGTGGGGGAAAATGAGACTGTGCAGCTGATGGTGACACACAGGAACTTTGGGCAACACGTGATCTAGAAACATCTCTGAAGGTGGATGATGCTGTGCTGTGCAGCAGCGGAAGCAGAGAGGCATGCCACGGGGGGAGGGATACTTACGGTCTGCAGGACCAAGTGCTAATTATAAGATGCCAGAAGTGTGCAAAATGGCCTCAAGTAGTTACTATTCATGGGCTGCCACTGCAAACAAATGGGGCTGGGCCTCCTCGGGCTGGCATGCCCGGGAGCTGGAAAAGGGCAGCTGCTTAAGAGCTTGGCATCAAGCCTGCACCACACACAACAGGTGAGAGCAAGCAAGGAACAAAATGGGCAACTGCCACGGCCCTGCAGACTGCAGGCGAGAGGCAGGGTGTCACACGGGCATT